CATTGTGACAATTCCTCACTTACAGTGTGTGGTAACTAGTCCTTAATTGAAAGGCCACATGTTACTGACGTGCATGAGGAGCAGAGACACGCGTTGACGATATGCTAATTCTTCGCCTTTTAAAGCCACATTGAACATCTGCTGCTAACTTCAGGCTAATAACCTCCTGACTGTTGTTTCATTTTTCATTCGCAGGATATTACGATCGCACTGAAGTGTTTTGGCTCATTGTTCCCGACATCGCAGATGATGACATCCTCTCAGTCGTCTCCATGGTACACGGTAATAGTTGTGGAATTATACAGGAAATTATGAATATTTTAGAGATATATAATATTAATAGTTAAGTTTCAACCAATCACAGCAGACCTGCCATATATTTTTCCGGCATTGTACCGTTCGTCCAATCATTTTACCTATTTAGTGTTTTTTTTGTTCACTGTTTTTATCAAATGGTTATCCTTTAGCATCAGTCTTGTCTAACCTTTAGGTATGTTTGATACATCGAATATCTATTTTGCATTTGCAAAATCTTTTGTTTAGCTAATTCACCAGCGCTGCAGTTTTTCTTTTCTTTTTATTTCACTTATTTCTTCCAGAAACTTCTAACTATCTTGATGAAATATTTTTTGTCTTTGCCCAAACATTGTAGTGTGTCATCGAGACCGCAGCGATTCAAATGTTCACCAACAGTTCTGCCGTGTCCTGGTGAGTTAATTAATTCCTTTTTTATGTCATTTTATTATTATGGCTCAAATCCTGCAAAACAATTCCTGATGTGAACTTTATATCGTAGATATTACAGAGCCCTGGCAATAATTGCAACTGCATTTTATCGTTTGACATTTTTAAGACCCGCGCAGCATTATTGACCAATTAGAGAGTTGGAGCCTGGTGGCCATCATGGCCTTTGGCTGCATTGATTCTGGTCAGTCTTACCACAATATATAAGCTGTGCAACACTGCAGTAAATCACCGCACTGCACCTTTAATGGTGGAAACTGAGATTATCTACATACTGCGTACAACAATACAGTCCTCTCTTTTTTTTCCTGTGTTTTTTAGTGACTTAGTGACAATCCATATTTAAGACCTGTTTATAAAGAAGAGTTCTTTTCAAACAGCTTAACGGCTGCCGTCTGGCAGACTGCTGTTCTTGGATTAAATATGCTTTAAGCTAGTACACAAACACTCATTAGTATTAGCACCAGATAATCCAGGTTCTGGTTTCGACATGAAGCTCAAATCTGAGGTTAAAAACAAATTTTTGTGACTCAGACTTGGCTCTTGCCGTTCCGGCAAAATCATAGTTCGGGTTGGTTTCCCTTATATTTGTTATACTGCTACAGGCCTAGACTGCTGGAGGAACTCCCATGGTGCCCTGACGTATCTTACATGGTAATGGCGTGTCTGCCTTTGAAACACACAATGTCACATCACACAATAGGATGGACAGAGAGAACACCATGCAGTATTAGCATTAGCATTAGCATTTGCCGGGAAAGCTGATCTAAATATCCGAAACAGTCAACAGTACTCACTTTGAATTAATGGCAGTAATTAGTGCTGTTCCACTGCAATTGAGCTCTGGATCGGAGAGTTTTCCCTCTGTACTCTAAGTGCTCTCCCGTACGGCAACAAAGCAGGCATCAGTGTAAAAATAACTGGCCGCGCCGCGGCTCACTTTCTGCACTTTCTACTCTGTGATGTATTACACAGAGGTAGATTTGGCAGCGCAACAGAAGGAGTATTATGACAGCGGGAGCGCCGGTGTGAGCAGTGGGTTTGCAGTGGAGCTAAACTTGGCAGTCAGAGGTAATGATCCTGGGAACTGGAGCCCCCGTTCTGTTTCATAGGCGAGAAAAGCCATTCATGTTTCAGTTAGATACACCTGGACGGACAGAGGTAAGTGGCTCTGTGTGTGTGTGGCAAGTGGAGGCTGTGTTTCTTTTTTTGCAGACCTTTTTCTAGCTGCTATCTACACACACACACAGTTTCCACACATTTAAGGCCACAGCTGGCAGCAAAAGGAATCCTAATGACCCACAATGCTGCTCACTGAGCCAGAGAGCGCCTATTAAGGCAGTTTGGAGCACGGACAGCAGCAACTGTCGCCCATCATGTTCACCTTGGTGCCCGGGTCTGACCGGCCCTCATGCATCTCTGACACTTGTGGGGGTAGAACACTGAGGTTCACACGCCAACCCAGGAGACAGTCCTCTGGCGTCTGTCTCGTGGAAGGAGACAGATGGACAATTAAATGCTGCCACTCCTCACCATGAACCGCCAAAGGTATTATTTCTATTCTTCATATTTTGTGCTTTGGATAAACAAGCGCTTCTTCTTCTTCTTCTTCTTCCCCACATCTCGTCAAGTCAAGTTTATATTTACATTTATGCATTTAGCAGATGTTTTTAACCAAAGCAACTTACAACAGGAGGTTTGACTATCAAGCATGTGGTTCCTCTGGGAATTGAACCCAGGACTCTCAGCTCCTTGCTTTCGAGGCAGGCATGCTAACCGCTACATTACGGAACAGACAACCATGTATATATATGTAGCCGAAATTCACAAAACACATCTGACGTAATGGACTTCACAGTTTTAAAATTAGTATTTAAACTATCTAACTACTAACAATGCAGAGTAATGCAACAAAATCACACACTGAGCAACATTTTGGCAAACGGTAAAAAAAACAAAAACTTCCTCCGAACAGAAAGAAACCTCCAGCAGATCCAGGCTCAGTGGCGCCCTCTGCCTCATCGCCCTTCGCACACTTCCACGCTTTCGCCGCCCACTGACACAGACCCTGATCTGCTCAGACCCACTTCCACCTGCTCCCTGCTCCCATATTTTAAAACATTACAGTGAAGGTAGACTCCTGACTCTGACCTCATCTGTCAACCTGTCCAACACGCTCCAATCCAAAAGGGATCAGATCCCTGCGATGTAGACGCTCCCTCGCTCCCCTTCAGCAAACCAGTCAACTCAGTGTACGCTACTGACTACTGTTCTGCTCGTGCGGTACTTTGCTATTTTACATTTTCTTACAAAGGAACATTTTGTACTATTGCCTCCATACTGATATCTGTGTTGATACCTTCAGTTTAACATGGAGATTAATGCATAAGTAAATAATATGTAATGATAAATAACAGTGTTTTGTTTTGTGTGAAATATGGAAATATTCAGTTTATACTTTTACAGGACAGAAGGAAGAATATTTGAAAGTGCTATCAATGTAAAAGCTCTGCTCACTTTCTGTTCATTTTGCTGTGTTAAATATGCAGGAATATATATATATATTATTTATGTAATGTAAACAACCTAAATAAGTATCAGTGTTGGTAATGTATTGTTTTTTTTCCCTATGTTTCCTGTTCAGTGTTTGAAAAATACTCAAAATCACTCCAGTACAGTTCGTGATGAAAGGCAGACCAAGTGAAGTGTCCAGGTAATTTAAATCTATTGTTAGCTGCCATCACATGAAAAATGTTGCTTCCTCCTCTTAAAAAACCCAGGGCCAGAGCTGCGCTTCACAAAACAATCTACAGGAAGTCGGCTCCTTCGACGAGAGATTCTGTTCTGTATTATTGTGAGAGGCAATTTTTCTTGTATTGTTGTGGGACCTGTAAGCATCGTACAACAAGGCCAGCCTTGCATCATCTCCAGGGGATTTTAGTGACACAATAGAAGCCACAAAACGCACTGCATCGGAGAATGTCGGCCTCTTTAATCTTGTTACAATAACAGAAAAAGCGCAGTTTACTTCAACAGGACATTTATATATATATATATAAATATATATATATATATTATAGATGTACTGTGTATTTTCTTCAGTAGCAAATGCAGTTTGTTTGATCGTATTGAAATGTTGAAGCACTACATTACTGTGCTATTGTAGCATATAACAGCGATTCTCAGGTCACATGTTTATGACCCATGAGTCACAAACAGAAAAATTAAGATATATATATATATTTGTTGTTGTTGTTGTTTTGGAAAAAAAATTACTTATTGCAACTCTTTCAACCAAAATATTAAATAAAGATTCAGTAAATTGCTTGTGTCTAAGTACGTATAATTCCTTGAAAAAAAAAAATTAATGGAACAAAACCAAAATAATTTTTAAACCATCTTGGAGAACCCAAGTATATATATATTTTTTTGTATTTCTAATAAGATTAGGGTCCGAGTCCAAACCACAGTGACATTAAATATAAAAATATCTTTAAAAATGTATTTTCCTTTGCGATTTCAATGCATTTTGCTTTTTTAGAAATAAACAGGCAGGAAAGTTTGATAAAATTTTGAAAAAAACAAATATACGACTAATTGTAAATGATTGTCAGATTCAGCAGAGGCGGCAAAAGTCCACCCCGGAAAATAGCTTTGTCATAGACGCACCAAATTTGACATACATTTCTATTTGGAAGATACATGTCTGGAAATGGACTCTGTTCAGGCAACACTGACCGGACCACCGCCGGGTCAGTGTTGCCTGTAACCCCCTCTGGTCTAATTTAACTGTTTGATCCAGCTCATCAGGTTGTAACTGAAAAAGTAAATTCTCAGCGTTGAGTACGATTCCCGCCGCTGGATCGTGTGAGAACCGCTGGTGTAGGGTGCAGTAGATCAAGTAGTTTATGGGAAAATAAAATGTCAGATTCATGTGAAACAGTACCTCATACTCAAACTCCTCCGTCCTCTCCACCTCTGCCTGGGTGTTGGACAAGTACTCGGGACACTCGTAAAACTCGTGTTCCATGGTGTGGATGGAATGGCAGCTGGAATGAAAGGAAATCAAAAGAAACGCTTTCATATTTAACAGTCATTTCTCACACACTCTTCTACAGCTTTTTAAGATGTGCCATTTTTTTATTTAGGGTCTCAAACGAAAATCCGTATAACATCGGATTTAACTTCCTTTTGATAGATACAAGGATTATGTTGGGTGTAATTATTTAACATCTGATCTTCTCAGTGTTAAATCCATGAAGACAGGCTTTCTGAGTCAGGTTTCCGATTATTGGATTTGAAATACCGATTAGGATTTTAAATCTTTTCAAGCTGCCCATTTATTATATTGATTTTTTTATTATTTTTTTTGCAGTAAAACAAATCTGCTGAATGTTCATCAAACCCAATGCAGACCTTTGTAAACTTTTATGGCACCGTGTTGGTTATTTACGTCCATTGTTGCTATATGTACGCCGATGATATGCGTTTCTTGGTAATGTGCGTTTCTTCTTACTCTGTGACAAAACTCTGAACAAGCGATGCAGAGTTGACCCGTTCCCTCCATAAATGCCCTGACCTCTGTAAATTGTCATCCTGATAATTGCGTCCCCATAATCATTGACCAACAATGGCAGATTGATTTCATTTGTGGTGCGGCTCCAACCTATAAATAGCTGCGGAATGGATGCTAGCTCTTTCAACCCATTGGCTTTTAATCGCCCGACGAAAACTCCCATTAAAGAAAATGGATGAAGCACACAGAAGCAATTATTGCATGCGACTCTGCCTCTGTATAATGATATTAAAGGAACAAAGTACTTAACTGCACTCAGGAGTTATACACTCTGATTCAATTGCTTAATAACTACCATGAAATTAATTGTCCAACCTGTCCATGTGATGACACTACAATTTTTTTTTACCTTCTGTTGAAATATAATAGGGTTACAGTCGTACAATAAGTGTATTTTTTTTTTTTGTCACCTGTCAGACAAAAGGAAGGGGCAGATGTCAGGGACGGGAGGGGTAGTGGCTCGGTGCTTGGCCAGCGCCATGATGTGTTCGAAGGTGATGTCGGTTTGTGTGCAAACGTCCACGACACACACGTCCTCCGATGTGCCGCCAAGGTTGTGAGCGACTGCAGCCGTGGCAGCCCCGTTAGGGGTCCGGCGCAGGACCTGGACCACGATGGGGTCTCTCCTGATGGCCTCCACCACAGCCTGGTCATGTTCAACCTTGGAGAAGTCTCGCCCATTCACCTGTGGGAAGAGACGAGAATCACCTGAGTGAACGACGCAGTATTTCAGTGAGATCACTTTTCATCACATTGTAAAATCCAGCCCTGAACCATAACAGAGCCACCCTCCTATGGGATCTCAACACACTTATGGTGATGACACCTATCTTCTTGTTAGACCTTTAGCTAGTGATTTAACTGTCTAGTCATTGAGCAATTTTGCGTAATTACCCTATTGTCCAGACTATAAGTCGCACCAGCCAAAAAAATGCATAATGAAGAAGAAAACAAAACATTCATAAGTCGCTTCAGTGTATAAGTTGCACCAGTGCCCTCTAGCGGCTGTCAGTGTGAAAAGAACAAACATGAATTTACATGTTTTAATATATAAGCCGTATCTGAGTATAAGTCGCAAACACAGCCAACGGATAAAAAAAGTGCGACTTATACTCTGGAAAATACGGTAGGTCTTGTTACTCACTTGATGCCTCTATGACTATTTTGATTTGGTCTTATATGAACTGAAACAACTAATGTGTGCCACCTTAAGATATTATAGCTACTCATTATCTACATATATCCCACACTCTTGGCTAATGGCATCCAAACAAAACACTTAACTGATGTTATGTCTGTTGAACTATTTAATGTTGGGCCTTTTCTGTAATTTATATCTTAAAGTGGTTGGCCAGGCAGTTTCTATGGCCACAGGCTAGTGTAAAAATACTGCCCGTTAATAAAACCTGTAAAGGTGGCATTAGATTTTCTACCCAGATTTTACGAGTTTACACAAACTACAAGCTATTCCCCGACACTGGCAATACTCTAAGACAATATTTGTGAATCGTATCAGGCTATTTCAGGAGTACGCCACTGTAAGCGCAGACCTTTTAGCGTTGCTATTTACGTCCTCGCCGTAAATGTCTCGACATTTTGGGTGAATAACAATTCCAGGAAAAAAGTAAGTGCTTTCTTTTTACTGCACTTCTGCTCCAACTCTCACTCCTGATTGACACAGCACGTTAAGTATTCCACCTCTGTACCTACACTGTACTTTCTCAGACATTTTTACTGCTGACTAGCTCTTCACTAACGCCTTCTTATAACCTTGCGGCTACTGTCAAATTTATATCAGCTCTATATTTGTTCTACAGTTGTTAAATGAATAATAAATCCCACAGGCCTGTTTCAGCAGGGCCATTTAATCTAATTCAGATGTGCTCCATTATTACTTCTAAATCGGATGCATTATTTACATTGCATTCGTAACAGTAAGCCCATTAGGGGCGGAGTGATAACACTGATTTAGGCAAATGAGTTGCAAAGTGGGACAAAGTGGAGGAATGGGTTTTTACTGGGCTGCATTCGTGGGTCTATCTCAGTGTTTCCCAAACTTTTTTTCTGGCGACCCATATTTTAAAAGTCACAAACCTTTGCGACTCATGCTTTATTACACATTTACCTCTAAATGGGATTGCAACTTTAATACTGCTTTGTTAAAGTAGTATTCAAGAAGAAGAAGTCGGTTGAACAGCCAACCTCTTCCACAACGGAAGATCTCAAGGCAGCGTCATGTTACCATGGCAACCATTGAGCCATAAGTCTTAGCTGTGTTCCAACCATTTGTGTTTAAGACAAGATACTCTAGACAAAAGTTCAGAGCTGAGAATTGGCCAAGCCCTGAAGTTTGTTACTTCGACGTACTCCGATATTACTATTGCTACTTCACTATCTGCCTCCCTTGTGCTGTTTCAGGTGACGACCGACCTCTAGTGCCTCAAGTGGTTACAAAATATAACTCATGTTTAGCACAGGGCGCACCACGTCCAACAGAGAGGAACGATAGTATGCGTGGAGCTTCGCAGTACAAAGGTACTTCCTGATGTTTTACTTTGTTGTCAAACAGACACATAATGAATCAACAGACATTACAGAGACTTAAATATGTGTGTACCCAAACCCTGACAGAGTCAGTTAGCCTATCAGCCAAAGCTTTAAGGACGCCAAACTTTGCAGCTGCGAAACTGATCCTCTGTTGTAATTGTTGTTTTTTTATGAATGACAAAAGTCAACGCAGCTTTACTTATTTATTTATTTTTGCCATTCACTTTACATCCTGCCATCTGCGACTACAATTAAAGTCATTAGATAAACCTGTGACCTTTTTTTTTGTTTGTTTTGCCATGTCACGTTTCTGCCAGACTTCAGCCCCAGACACATCTTTAAAAAAGAAAACAACATTTTTAAGTTGTAATGAGCTCCAGATGGACACATTAAATTCCAATCAGAGAGAACGCCGTGGTCGGCAGAAAGTGCTTATGCAGGTACACCTGCCAGAGTGTTTACCTGCTGTTGATCCTCTGTTCAGTCTGCTAGTTGATGAGCTAACTGGGGGCTGATTAACAGCTAGCAGATGTGACAAAAGGATGGAGATAATGGCTCAGGAAACACAGCTTTTATTGTGTGGAGTTTTTTTTTTGTCTTCTATTCTAATGTGCTTTACACATTTTGCACTTCATATACTGTAGTAGTACGGGATGATTGAATTGCAAATGAGGAGATAAAGGCAAGCAGAGACGATGAATGAGGCGCGGAGATAAATGAAGAATGTTAATTATTATGGTCACTTATACCTTACTTTGCTCTATCATCATTTAAATTCAAATGAGATTTCATATGTTTTTTATAGGATTCCATCCTTTTTTTGGCGATATACTATTTTTGTTTATTTTCATTCCCCATGAGGACGGCTGTTTAATTTAGTCAAAGTGTGGATTTTTCTTCGCAGGCGTCACACTAAGACACGTGGGGGAGTGGATTCCATCGATACCGGGCGGTAATTCCATTTTTATTACTATTTTCTTTTCCCCGTCACTCAGTGCTCTGACTGCACCGACGGAGAGACAATATAAACCACTGACATCACCAGACCCAACATGTGAAAACCAGGACAGGAACACCAGAGAACTCAGATAGTCTAAGGTCAGATGGTGGTCCACAGGGACGGCGGTAATGAAGCAACAGTCTACTACAGTCTTCATACACCGTTCAAGATAAAGGTTACCATTGCCAATAAAAATGGTTCCCTGTGGCCTTACAGCAAACACTCTTGACTGTGTGAACACACTCGCTAAAGGTCAAGGTTCAACGTGGAACAGGAGAGACTGGCGAGAGTGTACGGAAGAGACAGCTTTATATCACTGAACTTGTACAGTACACACGGTGCAATGAGTCTTTGAGTTAAAGTTCTTTTTTTTTAAGTGCGTGTTGAACACAACACAGCCCACGCCCCTCTGCTTGGAAGCCCAGTACTTTAAACACAAAACCACAAGCTACGTTTTTTCCAAAATATTGCTAATACCTGGAATCTTTGCAGTATTTCTCATATAAGTCATTACTGTATACCTGGAATCTTTGCAGTATTTCTCATGGAAGTTGTTACTGTATACTACTACTACTACATTAGCGCTTCTACTACAATATGCTAACAATTGGCTAATTTGTAACACATTTCGTAGATTATAGCTGGGTGCTTTTTTCTCGCAATTTTTAAGGTCAACTTTTAGCTTTGTTTGTCATCGAGCTTTAAGCTATTTTTGGAGTACATCGATGTCCCCTTTTGAGCTAGCTTAGCATTGGCAAACTAAGCCTTTTTTTGTATTTTGTATTTTTATTTTTTTCCTCTCTAGACTAATTTCCAGTCTTCTGGAATGTCGGTGAATTATCTGACTAAAAAACAAGCTAATATTTGTGTCTTTCATAACACGAGGAGCCACTTGACCTAATTTGTTATCTGTCACTAAGAATGTAGAGACCTCTCGAAAGTGACCCCTGCTGATCCTGATATGGCTACACACACACACACACACACACACAAATGGTGGTGTCGGCTACAAGCTACTAATGTAACACTCTACTCCCTGTGATGTGCCAATTACACACATCACTAACTATAAGGGGTTACCAGTGGACCATGGTGACGGCTGCTACACGTGTTTGGAGGCGAGAGTCGGGCACGGGGAGATGCAATCGTCGACAGACCCCAGGTCTTTGAATGCACGGCACGGAATTATCAGTAGTTGAGTGTGATAGCTATATGTTTTTAAACACAAACAGAGGAGATAAGAAAACACTAGAGATTAGTGTGTGTGTGTGTGTGTGTGAGAGAGAGATAACAGCCTGATGGAAACCACTCAACCTCACAGCTAAAATCTGACAGATACCGTGTCGTCTCCAGAAAATGGAAGCAAACGCACACCAAACATTACATCAGCTCCCGGCAGACCTAAAGCCGAGCTCCACAAAGCTTTGGTTTCCATTAGGTGCGCGTTTGTCTGAATGATGCCTGTGTCTCTTACTGAATAGTCTAACAATAGACCACAGAACAATAAGCTGCCGAGGGAGAGAGAGACCGACTCGACCTATTCAACAGAGACCTCGTACGCCCTTAAGGAGCCGCGGTGCTCGACACCAAACGCAGAACTGTCGCTGACAATTTCCCGGTTTAATGATTTATCCTCAACTCAGCCTAATGTGAGTGGGACTTGTTTGTAAATGAATGGAAATTGGCATATTGTGATGAGAGGACACGAGCAGGTGGCGTTCCCCGGTGGTCAAAT